GGGGGGCGGTGGGCACAACCAGCATCAGCACGCTAATTCCTAACAAGCGAAACCTATTTACCAAAATCACCACAATGGAAAAACAACTCTACCCTTTCAGTTTTCACATGAATCAACGGCCACCAAGTTGAAAGGATGGTACACAAAACTACTCAGTTTATTTTACTCTGACTGTAACCACTTCAGTGCAATGTGCAAGTGCTCTGCGATACTCAAAAAAGGGCTGAGTTCATAGTTCAAGGTAGTATCTTTTGTTTTAAACCAAATTCTATAGCTTCAAGATTTCACCTTTTGTCTATTAAGTAAAATCTTCCCAAGCTCCTTCCCATGATTCCCATCTAGTAACGCCAGTTAGCTGGTGCCCTAATAATTTACTGTTTATATCATTTCAAAGTGAATTTTATCATTATGAAGTAATTAAAGAGCACTGTTGGTACAAACGGTTACATGTTCTGCTGCTAACTGAAAGCTTGGAGGTTCCAAGCCACCCAGCAGCTCAGCAGGAGAGAGACCTGGCAATCTGTTTCTGTAAAGATTACAGCTATGAAAACCCTATGACACAATTCTACTCTTGTCACGTAAGGTCGCTATGAGTCGGAATTGACTCAACGGCATCCAACAACAACATACACTCTCTGCTATACTCTTTTAGGATTCCTTAGGTAGCACAAATGGTTGAGTCCTTGACTACTAGCTGAAACACTGGTGTTCAAACTCACCCAGGGAGGCCTCAGGAGACAGGCCTGGTGATCCGCTTCTGAAAAGTCACAGTCTTGAAAACCCTATGAAGCAATTCTACTCTGCATACGTGGGGTCATAATGAGTCGGAATCAACTAACAATATACTCTTATTTTCCAATGTTTCTCAGGGAGTATTTTTCCCTTTGATAATTAAAAATCAAACATTAAATTATTATAAGAGAAATAAATGGTTTTGTACTTCTTAGAAAAAATACTTTTTGAGTTAGGTAAGTGAAATTACTGAGTATCTACTTACTATATAATAATAAATTATTAAGTACCTACCATTTATTAAATATCTACTTCAGGCTAGGCACTGTATAAGGGCTTTAAAGTCTCCTTTAATTTCCACAAAAATGTATTTGGTAGAAGCTGTACTCTCCATACAAGCACAGTTCATTAAGTACAACTTTGTCACTCTGAACAAACTATTATGCTTCTGCACTTTGCAGAACATCAAATAGTAGGTTCACCTTCTCCATGAGTCCTCTTGATCACAAACGAGGACAGGTGGTAAAATCAGAGAAGCAGACACTAACTACGGTGAATATAGTTTCTTAGGTTTCTTACTAGCCACACTTCTGGACAGAAAAAACATTGAATTCACGGTGCCTTTGTAAAAATACAACATAAGATGCCTGACAGGCACAACAACCTATTACAAGATAAGCTATCAAAGCAAAAGATTTCCCAATGTGAGTCAAAGAAGTCCACTTACATTAAACAAAACTTCCAACACTAAGTGGAAAAATCTGGGAAGTCCTTTGGAGTTTGTTTTCTGCTTTTCGAATCATGTTACAGTTCTTACCCTTTTTTCCCACTCTTCTTCCGTGATTCTGTGGGTGTAGGAGGGGGTGGGGAAGGTGAATGTTTCCTTTTTCGAGCATTAGCTGCCGCTTTTCTATCTCTTCTCTCTGGACTTCGGACTGGCTAGGAGAAAGTAAACATAAATAAATATCAACCAGCTTTGTCCACTGCTCAGTTTCTACAAACCCTGTCCAAAGGTAAGTTTCCACAAATAAAGAGCACCATATCCACTAGCTCAGAGCAAATGAAAGCAGCATTGTGGACCACAAGCAATCAAGAGACTGACATTTAAGGTGATGCGTGCCCGATGGAAACACCAGTACTGATCCACAGGTATTCAACCCATGCCTTAACACAGACATGCCAAAACCTGCACAACAAAAACTGTCCCTGTTCACATTCTGTCTTTCCAGGATGGGAAAAGCATTTTCAATAACTACTGGGAAAATATGAAAACACATTCCACTAAAGAGATGAAACACAAAGATGGGCTTCATGATCTTGTAAAAATGTACCATTATAGAAACTACGCCTAACTCATCAACAAGAAGAATTAAAGAGATAATGAGACACAAAAGATTTTAAATAAGATTGCAACTTATGATTTAAAAGACAACTATTTCTACCTGTAAATATATATGCTTACATATAAAAAAACCTCAAAGAACTCCCCCCGACACACACACACTATTTGACCTTTTAAAAACTTTTTTAAAAAAGATGCAGGATACAAGAGCAATATAAAAAAACTTACCGTGTACATAACAACTACCAATTTAATAAACTAACCATAATGAAGAAAAAAACACCTTAAGTAAAAACATATGAGGTGCAAAAAAAACCCGAGAGATTAAAACATCAAATAAACATTAATTAATTGCCTCTGGTACCCTCATTATTCCTTACAACTATCTGTTTTCAGTAACTGTGGTATCAAATTGGAAATCTGAGGCATCATACAAGTCTGTAAGCGCAGTTTAAAAAAAAATCTAAACCACACACACATGTGAGTAGTATAGTAAGTCTGAAGTTAAATTTTAAAAAAGGAATATCAAATCAATTTTAGCATACGACTCCTAAAAATAAATTACTAAATAAATAAAAAAACCATCTAAATCTGGATAGGGGTAGATATCAAGAACCAGTTTAACAATGTGATATGAAGATAAGAATATTCCTAATGACACAAAAGACTTGGTTTGAAATGCATTAAAGGAAAATAAATATATACGAATATCTGCTGGGGAAGGTTAAAATAAAAACATTTGAAGAGTCAAATCTCAAAACAAAACGAAGAATATTCATACTGTGGCAAGGAAGTTTCAGTAGAGAAGTAACAGGGCTGAAAATAAGTATGATAGAACTATACTTTCTATGGTAAGGGTTAAAAAAAAAATCTGTCTCAAAGATTTTTAAAAAAACTAAAACACAAAAAAAACAAAGGGCAAAAATTTTAAGTGTCCTCAATAAGAAGAACTTGAAAATCGTCGGGCTCTTTCTAAATCTGCCACAAACCCAACACTAACACGTCTAAGCTCTCTTTTCAGACTGAGGTCTTCCCCTAGGGACACGCCTACCTCAAAAGTCACAAGTTATAAGGAATCATGGATAAATATTTAAGTAGTGTGACTTCTTAAAGGAGTACAGAATATTAAGGGTCAAATAAAGACTGAACTATAACTGAGATCTTTAAGGTCTGTACTTTGTGCTAACTCCTGTCAGTACATTAACAAAGTTATTAAAAAACGGTGAAAAAAACCAACAGCTAAATAAAATTATGCTGTGATGATATTTAGTATAGAAAATTAAAACTCAGGTCTACAGAATAAAATCAGCTGTACCACTGCCATACTACTTGGGCCATTTTAAATCTTTATGATCCTGTGAGACCTTTATGCCCCCTTTCGGGGTTAGTTACAACCATTTAGTAACCTTTACATATACTCAGTGATCAATGCACTCTAGAATTTATCAATGAAGATTCAGTAACATTCAGGCCAAGAGAAAACAAGAACTAGTGGAGAAAAATGATGACAAAGCAAATACCTCTTCATTCTTTGTTGAAATTCGTTGCCGAAAACTCACAGGCTTCCTGTTCTCATCCACCTCATAATCCTCTTCATTCATCCATTCATTGAAAACATCAGTGTCCAAAATCCATTTCGCATGAACCTAAGAACACATCAGGGCACGAACATCTACATAAATAATAAAATCACTCAGGGTTTTAATAAATCAAAGTATTACAAAGGAAAAAAGCCGGTTTATTATTTTCAAAGCCTCAAATGCAAAGAAACAGATTAAAAACATAAGACTAGTAATGACATCTTAGCAGCAACTTACCCATTCCTAATTTTTATTCCCTTTTAGCGAGCAAAGAGAGTAAGAAAGTATCTAGTATAGGAAGATATGTCTCAAGAACAGGACTACCATTCCAAGAAATCAGACTCTACTCGAGTTTCTAAACTAAATATAGCTTCAAAATTCACACTAAGCAAAACAAAAGTTTTTCTTTTAAATATCAAATTGTAGAATAACTAAAAGAAAACAGAACTGAACATTTAACATATCTAAAAAAGAGAGAACTTCCTATACCTTGAAATAATAAAAAAAAAATACTCATATATCTAGGTATATTTAAAATGAACAGGATAAAAAAAGAAAAAGAGAGGGAGACTGAAAAATAGTCGCAACAAAGAAAGTTAAATTTATTTTAAAAGCTCCCTCATATTAGTCACAAAATAATAGAGACCTATTAGTCATTCAGTTAAAAAGAATGACAATAATAATGATAATACAGCTAACACTTATTTAATACTGAGCATGTTTCAGGCTATTTCCTGCCTTAACTCATTTAACACCCAACTATCATGCTAGAAATGTATTACTATTAATATTAGCTCCATATAGCACTTAGCATAAATCTAAGAAATGAGATCAATGAATATACATCATTATTTTATGTAACTCTAACAAAAAAAAGTTGCCAATTTTAACTGTAAGATGCAGATCAACTATAAAAAATCCTGATTTCAGATATATTAAAATGTTAAAAAAATATACATGTTAGAATCAGAGAAATGTGGTCAGTTACTCAACTAGGAAACAGTGGGTCTAAGATTTAAACAAGGCAGTCTAGGCTCCAGTTAATCATGTAACTACTGAACTACACAGAGCAAAGCTCATGACGGCATTTTACTAAAGAGTAAATGCAGTCAGTAAACAAATACAAAGAATACATTCAATATTAATATCAATGAAAGAATAATACACAATACTCGGCCAATATGCAGTTAACACTGTGTTTATTCATCCTTTCCTGTGTCTACTCAACATTGACTGAGGAGTATACTGTATGTCAAAAATTGTGCTACCAATGTACTATATGTACTATGTATACATGTGTATATATGTATATACAGTACTGAAAAATACTACATGCCAAAATTGAGCTATCTATATGTCAAAAATTATCTGTACAGGATCAAACTGACAACAGCAACTCTGAAGATCAGACAGGAACCTTAGGGAGCAGTTTTGAGTTTATGTCAATGGAGGAGGAACAACTCAGAATACAAGGGTGAGAATGGCTGCACAACCTGAAGAATGTAATCAGTATCATTAAATGGTATATGTAGAAACTGCTGAAAAAATTAGTGCATGTTAGTCAGAACTGACTCAACAGCAATGGGTTTGGGTATTTTTTTGTTTTGTTTTGCTGTATATATGCTCAACAACAACAAAAATGAAAAAACCACATAATAGAGTCCAGGAACAAATTACTACAAATATAAAAAATTTACTTTTGACAGACTAGCAGTGGGGAAAGAAGCTCAGCCTTGATATTTTTCCTCCTTCAAAGGATAATTAGTTGCTCTAGCACCACATGGAGGAAAAAAATTAAACTTCCTACATCATAATCATATTTAAAATTTAATTAAAAATCTATACTATAAAACTAAAAATAGGTGATGTAGGAGATTTTCTTGATGACTTCAGGATTAGAAAACAAAAAGACAAGCTACAAACTCGGAGAACAAATTTTTAGCACATATAACTGGCAACAGAGTAATATACAGAATATGTAAAGAACTACTACCAATAAAAAAAGACAACGCAATGGAAAAACGAGCAAAAGATGAGAAGAGGTACTTCACAAAATAGGAAATACCAAAGGTCAAAGAATTCATGAAAAGATCATAACTAATTAGTAATAAGAGAAATACAAATTAAAACCACAATGAGATGATATCACTTCACACCAACTAAAACACCCACTGCCATCGAGTCTATTCCGACCCACAGCAACTCTGTAAGACAGAGTAGAACTGTCCCAGAGTTTCCAAGGAGCGCCTCATGGATTCGAACTGCCAACCTTGACCTTTTGGTTAGCAGCCGTAGCACTTAACCACTACGCCAACAGGGTTTCCTCATACCCACTAGAGGTAGGCAAATATTACAAAGTCAAGAAATCGCAAGCCCTGGTAAAGATGAGGAGCAACCAGAGAACGTGCACACTGCTGGCAAAATACATTTTTACAATCAATTCTGAAAAGGTTGCACTGCTTAGAAAGGTGATTGTTTTCACTGCCTATGAACATATATAACAAGAGGTATGGTCAAGAAAGTTCATAGCAGCATTGTTTATAATACCCTAAAGTGGGAACAACCACACATCCATCAACATTACAATGGATATACTGTGATATATTTATATAAAAGATTACTTACAGTACTAAGACCGATAATATGGATGAAATCTCAGGAACATAATGTTGAAAAAAATGCAAGTCACAAAAGAATGTAGTACATTCCCACTGATGATAAACTGAAAAAAGTATTTGTGCAGGTATACACACACATGTAGTAAAATTATACTGAGAAAGAGAAGCAGTACATTTAGAATAATGTTTACCTCTGAGAGGGCACGGCACAGGATGAATACAATGATTGCATCAAATTTAATGGTAATTTTTTTTCGTCAATAGAGAGTGGTGGGAAGTCTCTACTATGTTTGCTTTACTGTATTCCTTTACTACTATGTATTTTATAAATACCACTAATATTCACAATTTAATTTTAAAAATTAAGTGCTATACTTTTCACAGCAGAACAAAACAATACATATTTTGTTTTATAAAAAAAAGATGTCCAGTTCAACTTTTCACACAAACTCACAGTTAGAGACATTCTAAAAAACTGGCCTATATGTGTCACAGAAGACAAAGAAAGGATGAAGTTCAGACTGAAGAGATCTGACAACTAAACACTACACGTGATACTGGGTTGGATCAGGAAAACTTACTATAAAGGATATTACTGAGACAATCGGTGGAATTGGAATATGGGCCTTAGAGTTAAGTAGGTAATAGTACTGCTTCAAGAACGAATTTCATGAATGATATATATAGTTAATAAGAATCTGGGAAAAGGATATAAAGTAGTGCTTTGTACTTTTCTTGCACCTTTAAAATTTCCACATTAAAAATGGAAAAAAAGTTAATGCATAGATTATTACCACTATAATCAAAATTATATAAGACTCTATCATAGTAATCGTCACGCAGGCATTGCTTCCAGCCTTCCTTCATGACACTATCAATTATGTTCAACTCCATCCCTCACCTCACACTCTTAACTATCTCAAACCACAATATGACATGGCTTTGGAGTTCCCTCAAATATCACTGCAGACATTTAAGTTCAGACCTAGATAATGATGTCTTCATAGTTGTGAACACCTCTAATGGATGATAAGAAAGGGAGGCCATCATTCTATACCTCCTTAAAATATTGTTGTGGACAAGAGCTATTAAGTTTTATCAGGATAAAAGTTTTTTTTTAGAAAAGGATGATTGACCTTCCATGATTTTTCTGGAATTGGTGGATCTTCAATTTCAGCATCAACATCACTGCTGTGGACCCAAGTATCATAGCTATAAAGGAAATGAAAAAAGGAGAAACAAATTAGAACCCAAGTTCATTCACTGAAAGACTTTTATCAAATATTAAAGATATATTTTAGAAATACAATTAGGACCTAGTAATAGCAAGTTATCAGACACTTCTGTCTCTATTACTCTGCTAAGAAAACGTTTCTGTAGCTCACCAGTACCCTTCACAATGCTAAACCCAAAGTTCAAGCCTCAGACCACAATTTATTCAATCTACACACAGAATTTTAAACAGTTGCCCACTCTCTCCCGGAAGCACTTCCCTCACTTGGACTCCGGGCAGTACCATCACCTGCTGTTCCTTCTAGCCTTTCCTCAGCCTCCCTTGCCAGTTCCTCTTCTTCTCCAAACTGCTTCAACACTGGAGGGCCCAAAGGTTGAGTTTTTTGACCATCCCTCTTCTTCTCTACTCATTCTTTATGTGATCTCATTCAGTCCTATGTTTTCACTTATATATTGACGACTTATATCTGCCCTCTTCTCTGAATTTTGGACTCATGAAACCAGGGGCCAATTCCATATCCCCTTTCTTGTATGTCTACTAAGCCTGTGAAACCTAACACACTCAAAACATAACTTGTAATGATGTCCTGCCCCCCATCAGTGTGCTCCAGCCAATCGCCCTCATTTCAGTCAATGCTAACTCCATCATTTCAGTTCCTCAGGCCAAAAGCCTTGGAGACATCCTCGACTAGACTCTTAAGTCCATCCTACAGTCAAATCATCAGCAAATTCTATCAGCTCCACCTTCAAAATACGTCCAGGATTTAAAAAAAAAGAAACTGGAAAAAAAATGTATGTGTGTCCAGGATCTATCTATTTCTTACCCCCTCGATTCTGCTCACTAGTTCCCCTGCTTCTGCTTTTGGCCTCTAGAGTTAATTTTTCACACAGCAACCACATTGATCCTTTAGAAAACGAAGTCAGACCACATCACTCCTCTGCTCAAAACCCTCCAAAGGACCCCACCTAACTCAGAGTGAAAGTCAAAATCATTACAGTGGCTTGCTAAGTCCTCAAGATTGGATCCTATGCCTGTTGCTCTGACCCCATCTCCTACTCGGCTCTCTTCACTCACGGTACTCGAGCCACTCGGGCTTTAGTGGTGTTCTTCCAAGATGCTAGGCAGCTGCTGCCTCATTTCCTTTGCACATGTTGCTCCCTTCTGCCTGGAGTGCTGCTCCCCACTCCCCAAATATCCATATGGCTCACTCTGCCACCCCCTCACTTCTTCACATCTCTATGCTCAAAGGTCATCTTATCAGTGAAGTCCAATTCACTGATATAAAACTAAATCACTCCCCCTACTTCCTCTTCAATTTTGAAATGAACATAAAATTATCTACCAGATTAAAACTCTGTTAATGCCACTATACTGGCCAATAAGCTATTACAAAACCAAGTGAAATCTAAATGAAATACAAATATGGTTAACAAGCATTGGCTTCTTTTTAGCCACTATTCAGAAGTCAGCTCAAAAGCATTTAGAACCAGCATAGCTCTACATATCTATTAATATTATTCTGGTAAAATTTTATTGGAAGCAAATCCCAAGTGGCTCAGCAGGAAAAAAGACCTGGCAACCTGCTCCAGTAAAGATTACAGCCCAGAAACCCTATGGAGCAGTTCTACTCCGCCCTATAGGGTCGCTATGAGTAATCAACTTAATAACACACAATATCACATCACATCACACCAAGTTTTCAAGGAACACGTAAACATGAGCTGGGAGAAAAAATTCCTTTGCCATTTAAGTATAGTAGTAAAGATTACAATGATGAGGGGGAAAAAAGTGAGAACCTTATATTCTTTTTTTGAAAGTCTCAATTAGAAAATGTAACATAGGTAGTACAGGGCACAGGCCACAGTTAATGAAGAAACTGAACTAACGAGACCTCTTGCGAAGACAAGACCTGAGCTAGCTACCAGCTTTTTGATAAGTAAGTAGAAGGTTAGCACACAGACTAATGTGTCTGATATTATAAAATTATATCAATCTTATGGCGCTTATGGTCATCAATTTGAGTTTCTAAGTGTTTCGAAGGGCAAAGTGATTTCCTATAGTAGTTCCTATAATATGGAACAGTTTAACGCCTTGAAGCTTTGTTACCACAAACATTTTGTACAAAGCATTTATTCAAACATTCCTTTTGAAAATGGTTAATTCACCTAAAGTTGTTAGTTACAGCTCAGAAGAGGTTGATTACCAAGCTTACTTGATTTGGATCTAATTAACTCAACCTGCATAAAGACTGTGCATATGCTCTTAAACTTTGAATGTATCTAAACACATATTTCCTTCTTTTAAAAATATACTTACAAGAAAAATTAAGTTATTCTAATAGATTAATGGAAAAACAATGTGGGGGACGTTATGTATCTCTTGATGGAAGAACACACACCTATGCAACAGTCTTACCACTCTCAAAAACTGAACTGGAATCTGATCAATCTCTAAGGCCAACTACCATTTAAAAACAAATTACAGAGAAACCTGTTAAAATTCACCACAATGTTGCAAACAAACAAAAATCCAAACTCTGCTATACTCTATGGGACAGTCTGGTTTCTTAAATAATAAACTGCAAGCAGAGGTGAAGAAGACAGAGAACCTATAAATTAAAAAGTACTCAAGAGCTATATCAACGAATTCTACTTCAAATAATAATCAGTCAGTCAATAAAACATATCATTTATATGACAACTGGAAATTTGAACAATGACTGGGTTTTTTATGTTAAGAAACTGTTAATTTTGTTTTAAGTTTTACAGTGATGTTATGGGGTTTTTTTTTGGTTTGTTTTGTTTTTAAGAAAACTTATCTTTTAGAAATACATGATAAAATATTTATGATTGAAATGATATGCTTGGGATTTGCTTCCAATAATATGGGAAGGTGAGAAGTGAATGGAGATAGAGGTGAAAGAAGACTGGGCTGATCTGAAAAACTCACAGTGAAGAGAATCTCCACTTGACAACAGTGAAATAAACAGCAAAGCAGGTCTAGCATAAATTTAGGAAGCTGAAACGTGGAAGGCTAGCCCTGTTCCTCATGCCCTATGCAGGCATAATATTAACTCAACAAGGACCACCACTCCCACTAGCATCTAGCTTTTGTTTATAATATTCCTTATTCATATTTTAGATACTAAAGCACAGCATGAGTTATGATATATAAAATCAGCAATAATACTAGGGAAGTAAATTTCTGCCAAGAAGAAAAAATTCATTTTAGACATAAATTGTTTCATTCTTAACAGTCTGGCATGACTATGACTAATAGACAACTAAGGGTTAAAAAAACAAATAACACCGAGTCATGAACACTAGAGAAAAAATTTTTTTCTACTTCTTGAAGGAAACAAATCTAAATCCCATAGTAAAGGAATTCTTTGGAAAATGTAGCCAAGATATGTGTTTACTGAGATAAATAACGCTGTGTGACTTCACTGAATTCCATAATTAAAATAAGAAAACAAGTCAATGAAATACTCAATAAAACGAGAACAATGACTGATTTCACACAAATCAACAAAGGTGTCACTACTCACGAAATGAAACTATATATAAATAATTTTAGTTTTCTTTGACAAAAATATTTATACAAGATTTCAGAGCATAGCAACATTACCTGTCTGGATAAAACCCCCAATGCACTAGAACCTGCTTATCTTTTCTCATCACCGGTCTCAACCACTCTTCTGAAAGGGAAAACAAAAAACAAAAACACTTTAGTCAAAATGACAAATAAATGAATAGTAAACTATTATACAGCCTTAATTTTTACTTAAGACAAACTTTTCAGTTCACCAACTAGCAGGAAAAAAAAAAAAAAAACCACAAGGTTTTTTCTTAATTGAGCACTACCTATCATATTCAGGGAAAATTTCTCAGCTTGTGTATTGCTTTCTAGATTCCAGGCCTATGATCCATCACTCTGGCAAAACCAACTGTCCACTACAGTCTAAATGCTCCTCTCCCACTCACCTGTCAGCCTGCCTCACTCTCTCTCTCCACACAATTACTGTATTTTTTACTGCCTCATTTCCCATGTAGAAACTCTCCTCTCTTTTTCTCTGAGGCTTTACAATTACTATGTATCTTTCAAGATGTAAGTCATACCTCATCTCCTTGATGAAAGCTTTACTGACTACTCTGTCCTCCACATTCAGATTCTCTGGTATCCTACAGCACTTTACAGCACTACATCAAGGCTTTTACACCAATAACACTATTTTTATTACTCTTTAATTGCCTCATACCTATTAATTTAATCCTCCGAACATGAATGCAAACAATGTGGTTACATGCTGTAGTTATTTTTCTTTCAGGTTTCAAATTATATGATCAAATGATTCTTACTGACTTTAACCAATAAGCGCTAATTATCATGTGCTTCTTTCGCAGTCTTAATTCAGATTAGAAAATTCAATGCTTGTAGTAACAGGGAAGTTCTGAAGTAGGCTCCCTGAAACCCAAGAAATGATAAAATAGCAAAACTAAGGAAAATTAGCTCACGGACTTTTCAGTGCCAATTTCAACGTGAAACAGCCTCAGCTTCATGGACTAAAGCCATGAAGTCCACCTGCCTGTGCTCTTTTTAAAGCATCCAACTACTTCGCTTACCATTTTGAAAAAAGGTAAAAAGGAAAGCATCAGGCCCATTTCTTAATCTGATATCCCAACATGGCAGAGGAAAATATGAGAAGCGGCCAGTAGGCATCACAGAACCCACTCTGTGAAACCAACCTTTCCAATATCTTAGCTCTCTAACCAGCAAGAGCTGCCTTTTAAAATACTGAATCTATCTTCAAAGATTGAACAGCTTTAGGAAGGAAAGAAAAAAGGATATCCATCCTAAACACAGCTAACTTTGATATAAAGAGTTTTTAGCACTGAATGTTGTTGTTATTGTTAGGTGCTGCTGAGTCGGTTCCAACTCTTAGCGACCCTATGTACAACAGAACGAAACACTGCTGGGTCCTGTGCCATCCTCACAATCGCTGTTATGTTTTGAGCCCGCTGCTGCAGCCAATGTGTGAATCCATCTCGTCGAGGGTTTTCCTCTTTGGCATTGAATGCTTTTGACAAATTCTCCAAGGAGAAAAAACTAAAGGTGTAAGACATGAACTCACATACTTCCCAAGGACAGTCATAAGCTACCCAGAACCAAGAAAAAAGACACAATTTTCAGAGTAAAAATTAGCCCAAAGTCAGGATATATAAAGAACTCTCAGAACTCAACAGTAAGACATAAATAATTCAACTAAAAAGGTAGTCAAAAGATCTGAATAGGCATTTCTCAAAAGACATACAACTGGCCAATAAGCACATGAAACAATGCTCCATAACAATTAGAGAAATGCAAATAAAACACACAAAGAGATATTATTTGACACCCACTATGAGCCCTAGTAGCGCAGTGGTTAAGAGCTCAGCTGCTAACTAAAAGCTTGGCAGTTCGAACCCATCAGCTGCTCCTTGGAAAATCTATGGGGCAGTTCTACTCTGTCCTATAGGGTCACTAGGAGTCGGGATCAACTCGATGGCAACAGGTTTGGGGTTTTTTGTAGGAACCAAAGGGCAATAGTTCAAATCCAGTAGTGGCTCCATGGATGAAAAGACCTGACAATCTACTCCCATAAAGATTACAGACTAGGAAATCCTAGGGGGCAATTCTATTCTATTATATGGGGCTACTATGAGTTAGAATCGAATCAACAGTATACGACAACAACATGATGACTTGATACAATAAAAAGCACTGGTGAAGATGTGGAGAAACTGGAAACTCATGGGATTATAAAACTAGAAACTCAGGATTGTGAAATGGTGAAGCCTCTGTGGAAAAGTATGGTAGTTGCTCAAAATGTTAAAAATCAAGTTATTATATGAGCCAACAATTCCACCCTTAGGTATATAAACAAGAGAACTGAAAATATAAATTCAGACAAAAACTTGTACATGAATGTTAATAACAGCATTATTCACAACAGCCCAAAAGTGGAAATAATCCGAATATCCATTAACTGAAGAATGGATAAACAGAATGTGGTATATCCATATAATGGGATATTTTTTGGCCATAAAAGGGAATGAAGTACTGATACATGATACAATATGGATGAACCCTGAAAGTATTATGCTAACTAAAGAAGCTAGACACAACATCTGCTGTTTAAGAAAAGGGAGGAGTGACCCTGCAGTGGTGGTGTGGAGGCCGGTGGGACTCTGCTGCCACCACAGATCCAGAGGACAGATGCCCGGAGGTTATAAGGGGAGAGCTTATTTCCTCCAGGGGGTGGGGATGCCACCTGAGTGGAAATGGAGGACAAAGTATCCAGCCAAGGAGGATTATCAAGCTTTGAAATCTAACAAAACCTGCCCTGCTCAGGACCCGTGGCCCTTTTTTCCCCTCAAATTTCTCTCTTTGGAATACGAATGTCCATAACATGCCTGTTCCACCACTGTATTTTAGAAGCTGATAAGTTCTATTCTAGGTTTCATAGGTCTACAGATGGAGAGTAATTTTGGTCAAGGAGGGAACATACCACACCTACTTTACATGATGCAGAAGATGAGATTTTGGACTTACAATAGAATTGATGCTGGAATGGGTTAAGACTTTTGAGATGTTGGGAGGACTTGAATTTTGGGGGTCCTGAGGGCTGACTGTTATGAATTATGTCTCCTGAAAAGATATGTTGAAGTCTTAACCCTTGGTACCTGTGAAGGTGACCTTGTTTGGAAATAGGGTATTTGAAGGTGTTATCATTTAAGTTAACATGAGGTCAAACTAGAGTAGGCCCTGATGCCGTGGAGTCAACTCCAATGCACAGCAACCCTATGGGGCCCTGATGGCACAGTGGTTAAGAGGTCGGCTGGTAACCAAAAGGACGGAAGTTCAAAACCACCAGCAGCTCCTTGGAAACCCTATGGGACAGTTCTGCTCTGTCCTATAGGGTCACTAAACCAAAAACCTGTTGCCATCGAGTCGATGCCGACTCATAGCCACCCTACAGGACAGAGTAGAACTGTCCCATAGGGTTTCCAAAAAGTGGCTGGTAGATTCAAACTGCTGACCTTTTGGCACTGTGCCACCAGGGCTCCACTAGAGTAGGATGGGTACTAATCCCATCGGAGTGGTATCCCTATAGAGAGAAGAGACACAGAGACAGATGGGTAAGACGGTCATGGGAAAGTGCATGTGTAAGCCAAGAAATGCCTGGGGCTACCGGAAGTCAGAAAGGTCAAGAAAGGATCTTCACTTAGAGCCTTTAGAGAATATGGTCCTGAATTTGGAAAACTAGCCTTCTGAACAGTGGGATAATAAATTCCTGTTGTCATAAGCCACTTACTTTGTGGTATTTTGTTATGGGATCCTTATAAAACTAATACACATGCCATACTCACAAATCTTACTAATACCTTAAGGTCCATTACTTTAAATATTAAATCCTCATAAAAGGCATATTAAATTTTCAAGGGTATTACAGTATGCCCTTAAATGTACTGTAGTTGGTACTGTCATCACCTGCACAGTTAACCAAAATATGTACATGTAAGGGGCCCAGCAGAGGGCTCTGCAGAGAGTTGACATTTGCTTGACAGCCAGTTACTCTAATGTAAATCCTGCAATGTGTAGAATCACATCTTATTAAAAAAATAGCCTTAAACATATTAAAACTTGAATTTAAGTGCTATCTCCTTACCAAGCAAGTGGTAAACTAAGTTATATTACACAAATGAGAAAAGCAAAAATAGCAAGAATAAGGAAGGACTCATTAGATGTAACAATTACAGTTCTAATCATATGTAAAAGGCAATTCTTTCAAAAAGTCCAGAATCTAAAAGTTCTCCATACTGGAGAAACAAGAGATAGCCAGCAAGAGTTAGTATTCTAACATACACAACTATACACCACTTCCATCTAGTGGAAACCAGCTGCTATTACACAACATGATAAGGGTTGAGGAAATACTAAATAAATGATAGAGGCAGGGTGAGGTTTCTCACTTCACAGAACAATCACAAGAGTTAAAATTATAACCATTAAAAGTAAAATCAAATTTTCAGTTATCAAAATTGAGGATGAAAATCTAAGAGCTAAAACTATAAAACTCAGAGAACCCAGGCATAAGTCTTCATGGCCTTGTATTAGGCAATGGTCTCTTAGATGTGATACCAAATGCACGAGCAACAAGAGCAGCAAAAAGGATAAACTGGACTTTATCAAATTAAAAACTTGTCTGCTTCAAGAAACTATCAAGAAAGTGAAAAGACAATCCATGAAAAATTGGAAAAAATATTTATAAATCATATATCTAATAAGGAACCAGTATCCAAAACATATAAAGAACTCTTACAACTTAACAACAGAAAGACAAATAACCCAACTAGAATATGGGCAAAAGGGCTGAATAGACATTTCTCTAAAAAAGATAAACAACTGATCAATAAGCACATGAAAAGATGCTCGACATCATTAGCAATTAGAAAAATACAAACTAAAACCACAGTGATACCACTTGACACCCACTAGGATGGATATAATCAAAAGGACAGCAAATAAAAAATATCACAGGATCACCTTTTAGGGACAGAGCAGAGTGGCATACAAAATAAAAGGATACTACCCGTAAGAACGGTGCTCTACCAAAAGGTCAACAATTATTCTAAAGCAAAGATGAGAAGATAAGGGGACAGGGAAACTAGAGTACTGGAAATGGAACAACCAGAGCACAATTAAAGAGAATGCTGACACATTATAAAAAATGGAACTGTCATCGAACAGCATGTGTGAAAACTGTCACATGGGAACCTAACTTACTGTGTAAACTTTCACCAAAAACACAATAAACTATTACTTAAAAAAAAAAAAAAAGACAACCAATATCAAGTGTTGACAAGGATGTGGACAAACTAGAACCTCATACACTGTTAGTAAGAATGTAAAATGGTTGACGTCACTTTGCAAAACAGTCTAGCAGTTAACTCAAAATGTTAAGTATACAGTTACCATATGACCTAAACATTTTAAACTTGGCAGAGATCTAATTTCACCCTCCAACTGACCCAGCAACACTTACTAAAAACACTTTTTCCCCCACCACTTACATTGTAAATTAAGCATGTATACGTGAGTAGATCTGTTTCTGGCCTCTCTATTCTGTTCCATTAATCCTCTGCCAATATCACACTATTTTAATTAATGTAGCTTCATAATAGTTCCTCACATTCAATAAAGCAAGCCTTCCCACCCTGCGTACCTTCAAGTGTGAATTGGCTATTCTTGGCGCTATGCATTTCCAAATATACATTAGAATAAACTGTTAAATTATATACACACACACATCCATGCATTGAATATACTGAACAATGTGGGAAGAATTCACTTCATTAAAAAATTGACTCTTAATTCCATAAAAATGTTAAATCCCTTAGGTGTTCTTTAATTTCTATCAATAACATAAAACTGTTCTGTGTTAAAATTTAGGCACATCTTTCATTAGAATCACTCTTGTTGTTAGGTGCCGTCAACTCAGTTCCTACTCATAGGGATCCTATGAACTCAACGAAACACTGCCCCGTCCTGCGCCATCCTCACAATTGTTGCAATGTTTGAGCCCACTGCTGCAGCCACTGTGTCAATCCATCTCGTTGAGGGTCTTCCTCTTTTCGCTGACCCGCTACTTTACAAGCATGATGTCCTTCTCCAGGGACTGGTTCCTCCTGATGACATGTCCAAAGTACGTGAGAAGAATCCTCGCTTCTAAGGAGCATTCTGGCTGTACTTCTTCCAACACAGATTCGTGTGTTCTTACGGCAGTCCATGGTAAATCCAACATTCTTCGCCAACACCGTAATTCAAAGGTATCCGTTCTTCCTCTGTCTTTATTCACTGTCCAGTTTTTGCACGCATATGAGGCAGTTGAAACTACCATGGCTTTGGTCAGGTGCGTTTTTAGTCCCTAAAGTGACATCTTTGCTTTTTGACACTTTGAAGAGGTCTTTTGCAGCAGATTTGCCCAATGTATGCAGTGCGTCATTGGATTTGACTGCTGCTTCCATGGGTGTTTACTGTGGATCCAGGTAAAATCAAATCCTTGATAACTTCAATCTTTTCTCCATTTATCATGATGCTGCTTACCTGTTCAGTTGTGAGGATTTCTGTTTTTATGTTGAGATGTATGTAATCCATACTGAAAGCCATGGTCTTTGATCTTCATCAGTAACTGCTTCAAGTCTTCTTTGAGCAAGCAAGGTTCTGTCACCTGCATAACGCAGGTTAATGAGTCTTCCTCCAATCCTGATGCTCCGTTCTTTATATAGTCCAGAGTCTCAGATTATTTGCTCGGCATATAGACTGAATAAATTATAGGCGTATGGATATTATCCTATCACTGACACTGTTGTACTTCAGGACAGATCTTGAAATGTTCTTTTTGACGATGAATTTGACACTGTTCCTCTTCAATTTGTCATTCCTGGCGTAGTAGACTATATGATCATCTGATTCAAAATGGCCACTACCAGTCCATTTCAGCTCACTAATGCCTAGGATATCGATCTTTATGCGTTCCATTTTATTTCTGCCGATTTCCAATTTTCCTGGATTCATACTTTGTACATTCCACGTTCTGATTATTAACGGACGTTTGCACCTGTTTCTTCTCATTTTGAGTCACGCTACATCAGCAGATGAAGGTCTCGAAAGCTTGACTCCGTCCACATCATTAAGGCTGACTCTACTTTGAGGAGGTAACTCTTCCCCAGTAGTATTTGGAGTGTCTTCCAACCTGAGAGGCTCAGCTTCCAGCACTGTATCAGACAATGTTTCATTGCTATTCATAAGGTTTTCACTGGCCAATTTTTTTAGAACTAGATCGTCAGGTCGTTCTGTAAATGCTATCTTTTAATTCTATTTTCTATTTGGTGTTAGTATATAGAAATACATCACTTTATACTGATCTTACACCTAAAAACCACGTTAAACTCACTTTTATAGTTTTGTTCTGCAAACTCTTCTGAGTATTCTACATAACCATTCATGTTTGCAAATGAGGATGGCATTTCTTCCTGTTCCAACATTTATCCATTTTATTTCTCTTTCCCCTTACTGCACTAAAATTTTTAAACACAAATGGTGATGGGATCACACAGATTCCTGATCTCAGAGGAAAAGCTTTCAACATTTTACTATTAAGTATGATGTTTGCTATAGGGATTTTTTTTGTTTTTGGTAGATACCCTATACTAGATTAAGAAAGTTCCTTCCCTTTTCCAAACTTACTATATATTTGTTTGTAAATAATAAGCAGATATTGTACTTATCAAATTTCTCTATATTTACTGAGTTGATCATGTGATTTTTCTCCTTTATTCTGTAAACATACTGAATTCTACTGATCAATGTTTATGTCCTAGAATAACTTTGTAATCCTGGAATAAATTTGCCTTGGTTGTGATAAATTATCCTTTTTATATACTGCTAGACTGATTTTGAGAATATTTTATTTAAAATTTCTGCATCTCTGTTCATGTGTAAATACAGATGCAATTTTCTGTAATTTTCCTTCCTCATGATGTCATTTTCAAGTATTGGTATTAAGGATATAGCTTAAAAACAAGTTGGGATCTTTTGATTCTTTCTGTGATTTCTAACATATATAATTAAAGACAAGCTGGTTACTTCGTCATTTAAATGTGTGGTAGATTTCATCAGCAAACTCATCTGTAACTTGAATTTTATTTTGAGGATAGTTTTTACATTATAGATTCAATTTCTTTAGTAGGTACGCAACTATTTGGAATTTCTATTTCATGTGTGCAGGATCTGTATAATGCCCCCTTCATTCTTGACATTATTTATTCCTTTCTCTGTTCTCACTCATTTTCAGCAAGAATTTATCATTAGTTTTTTCTAAGAACCATTTCTGACATGGCTGAGTACATTGCTATCGTGTATTTTCTGTATCATTAATTTTTGCTCGTCTTTTTTATTTCCTTATTTCTTTAGGTTGAATTTGCTGTTATTTTTCCAACGCCTTGAGAAAGGTGTTTGAATCACCGATTTCCAGCCTTCTCCTTAATATTTGTATTTAAAGAATTTCCTTAGGCATAACTTTAACTGCAGTCTAGAAAATTTATTGTTGTACTTTCATTCTTACTCACTTGCAAAGATTTTCTTTCCGTTTTATTATTTCTTTGATCCATGGATTACCTAGCAATTTTCAGGCATACAAAGACTGTCTGGTAATCGTTTGATTATTATCTTCTAGCATAACTGCACTGGTCAGAAAAACACACTCAGTATGGAGTAATTCAAATGTGACATAATTTGGCTTCTTACATAGATGTGCTGCATGGATATGTTGTGCCCACCAGCAGACCTGATTGTTGCATCCCTGCAGGAGTTCTATTTCTCACTTTAAACTAATTCATATTTAATTCTGCAGCTCAACCCTTTGAAAAGATGGTTAGCAAGGGTCAGTATCCATACATCTCATGAACTCTAGCCACTAACAAAAATCACTTTTTAGGATCTGCAGAACTGAAGATCAGAATCTGAACGATTGTAAATTCACCAAAGCAATGTCCTGCTGTGCAGTCCTATGCAGACAACCAGTAAGCTAGTCTTCCCCAGAGATGTCCTTCTATCTTGCAAAGTCTTAATTTTCAGAAAATAAAAGTCATAGCAATCATTCAGTGAGGCTGATATATAAGGGATGACCAGACTTAACAACTGGATAATGATTACCAACAAAGAAACAAAAGCCTAATAGTTAGAAAGTTGGGTGGCACAAAATTAATCTTTTAATAAATTATCTTTAATTTGTCTGATATGACAACACATAATTTTAGTAAACTTTAACCAACGAATTTATCTGTTCAGTAAAATTATTCAGTTACTAAATAATAAAATTCTTAGCCCAATTCAGCAAAATGACATAATTCTTCATTAAAGAAAATAACGGAAAAATGTACATTTAAATAATCTGTGGAATTAAATTTATGTAATACTTGAAGTTCTCTTTCTAAATAAGCTGGTTATATTGTTTAAACCTCTGCTGGTAGAACTTAAAATCTAACAGAGGATAAGGTGATCAGTTCACAACCAAAACAGTAACTTACCATCTTCTTGTGAGGAAGGATATGGGTATATGTGGTGGGAAGCTTTTGACTTCTCATCAGTATATGTTCCCTGAAAAGCAAACGAATAAGAAACGTAAAAATAAAGCGCATGGTAATCATAAACTACGAGATGCCAGATAAAAATTCCGTAAGAATTACAAAGGTGATGTTTCACTTATTATACTTATTGTAAGAATATTAAGATCATAATATTTTATTATTTTTAGCCAAGGAAAGGGTGACTAGCATTAAACAACAAAAATAAATAAACAGATAAACTGTCAATAGACAGTTTATGTTACTATATGGAAAAATTATACAAGAACCTCTTAGTTAATTCTCTACGTATCTCTGGATATTCATAACAGTAACATGGGTATCTCTAATTCTAGTGGGGGACATGCAGGATGAGGCCTGACCGGTAGGCAGGAGGGACCAGGATACAGGAAGTGGACTGGGCAGAGGTCTGCAGTGAGAGCCCTGCAGAGCCAGAGTGACAGAAAGCAGATTAAAGGTTGTGAGAGGCTAGAGATTTGGGGTGGGAAATGACTGCAAAGCCACATAAGGAACTTTTGTTGTTACTGCTGTGTGCCATCAAGTCGATTATGACTCACAGCGACCCTAAAGGATGGAGTAGAACTGCCCCATATAGTTTCCTAGGCTGAAATCTTTGTACCAAAGCAGATTGCCAGGTCTTTTCTCCCACAGAGTGGCTGGTGGGTTTGAACCGTCAACCTTTCCATTAGCATTCGAGCACATAACAACTGTGCCACTAAGGCTCCTTGAGCGACTTTTAGGGTTACAGAAATGTTCTCTATCTTGTTTATAGTGATGATTACTCACCTGTACACCCACTCCTCACTTATCAACATGGTTAGGTTCCAAAGACCAGGTCATTATGCAAAAATGGTGGATGACCACATCAGATCACAAAATAGATGATGGCTACATCATTATGTAAGTGCCAAATTACATCATTACATAACTGCCAAACCACTGAGAATCATGGCCCAGCCAAGTTGACACACAACGTTAACCATCAGAGACAGCGTTTTTCTCACCTCATACATCTGTATTCATTATTGCCAGACGTAGGTTGTTAATGTGCAAAATAGACTGTAGATTTTTTACTACTGTCATAAATGCAAAATGTCAAATAATGAGATAGTCGATAAGTGAGAAGTAGGGGTTTACAACTGCCAAAGGTGACCAAACTGTATACTTAAAACAGGTGAATTTAGTCCCTGGGTGGCACAAACAGTTAAGTGCTGGATTACTGGTGAAATGTTCTCGGTTCCAACCCACCCAGAGGCACCTTGGAAGACAGGCCTAGTAATCTGCTTTGAAAGGTCACATCCTTGAAAACCCTATGGAACACAGTTCTACTCTGACACACATGGGGTCACCAAGAGCTGGAATCAAATTAACAGCAAGTAACAACAACAGTTCTACAAGTAACCCCGAAGTCATCACAAACTATCATCTAAAGTGAATCATTGCAGGTTTATGGCCCTGAGCCCTAAGCTTGCGCTGTGTACATATACAACGGACAGCTGACTCTATTTTAGCGTGCAAGTATGCTGCTGCTGTTGTTTTAACCCTTTCGTGCTCTTGGGTACCTCTAGGGACAAGTAATTTTTCTGTTTCTGAAGGTTTATTGGGAAGTTGTTGCACTACTGACAGTGCATGCTGCTGTGAGGCAGAGGCCTTTATGACTGCTTAAAACTGAAGAAACATGCTTGTGCCACAATCACTGTTTTTACAGGGTATTGTATGAGGTGTCTGAATTTTTGGTAGGAAAAACAAACATTCTGAATTTTTGTTACACACATATGTACCAATATACCCTGGTGGGGACTCTGAGGTATAATTAGTGGTACTTCATATGTACCACTAAACACTTACGGTAGGCTTGTGGGAGGGGGCAAGGAAAAAAAAAATCCACACTACCTACCAAAAATTCAGACACACTCAACAATTCAGCATACTTCCATTAATGACAACACATGGTATCAGCAAAAAATTCAAAGCAGGAAATCAGTTCACAAAATGGTTAAGTCAATGTTGCATGGATAGTGAATGATATAAAAGCTAAAGTCAAGTTCCGGTTATACCACAGTTAGATTACTGCATACACTCTAGAACATCACTTCAAAACAAAAAGTGCTTACTCTGGAGAACATGAGAATGGGGAGAAGTCTTAAAACCAGGCTTAAGCAGTATTTTAATGCATTTCTGAATTGTTCTTTGACAATGAGTATTTACTAATTATTACAACCAGAGAAATGTAATAATGCTATTTTCAACCAGCGGAAAATTCTAAAATTCAAAATTTAGAGCTGTCTAGAGATGAATTGGGGCCCTGGTGGCACAGTAGTTAAGAGCTTGGCTGCTAACCAAAAGATAGGTATTCTGAATCCACCAACTACTCCTTGGAACACTATGGGGCAGTTCTACTCTGTCATATAGGGTTGCTATGAGTCAGAATCAACTCAATGACAAGGTTTTTTTTTTTTTTTAAAAGGTGAATTAGCAGAAATTCTTGATCACTGAAGCGTTCAGGCAAACCTCTGCAAAGCTCCCAGCAAGGCTGAAAACGAGACCTCAGCACTCACTGAGTGTGAGGCAACAGACGGAACAGCACAGTGTTTAGAACACTGGTCTCTGGTGTCAGTCACACAAGCCTATGTTTGAACCTCAGCTCTGCCATTTACTACCTGCATGATATGGGACAAGTTAACTTTTTTGTGCTTCAGTGTCTTCTGTGGAATGAAGTCATAACAGTAATACCTATTTCACAGGAATTTTGTTAGGACTGAGTTAGTAGATGCAATGAGCCAAGAACAAACACACTGTAAATGGTCCACTAATGAGTTACTACTGCATTTAAAACACTTTGCACAAAGGCCTGATTATCACTATTCAGTAACAGTACTATTGTTATTATCTTCCCTAAGATTCTATTGAAACCAGCCAGATCCTTACAGTCCTCTGGAGGGTATTCCTAGAAAAAAATCACTAAGTCAAATTTCGTAAGAAATATGACAGTTAAATATTCAGCACAAACTACAGAAATATACATAAACTCTTCCCAGTATGATTCGGTAGAAGTAAGAGAAGGTATTTTCAGCTTGAAGGCAAGAACCAGCAACTTAATTTGTTCTATTTTTGCCCTCTAACGTTACATACGTAATTGAGCTACCATGAACAGCCACTCCAATAAACAGAGTACAGTAGAGAAAAAAAGTTTAAGTGCTTTCTTCAAAGTCCTATTGCTAGTGAAAAGAGACAATGGACTTTCAGAGCGCCCGATCTGACAGCACAATTACACTATCTTTCTCTTTGGTAGGTGTCATGGATTGAGTTGTGTTCCCCAAAAATATCTGTCAGCTTGGCTGTGTGATGATTCCCAGCATTGTATGATTGTGTTATCTGATGTGATTTCCTTATGTGTTGTCAACTGTATCACTATGATGACATTATATGTGATCTCCTTATGTGTTGTAAATTCTATCACTGTGATGAGGTTATACTGATGAGGCTGACAAAATTAGTGTCTTAATGCAATCTCTTTTGAGATATAAAAGAGAGAAGCGAGCAGAGACACTTGGGGACCTCATACCATCAAGAAAGCAGTGCTGGGAGCAGAGCACGACCTTTGGACCTGAAGTTCCCACGCAGAGAAGCTCCCAGACCAAAGGAAGACTGATGACACAGGCCCTCTTCCAGAGCCAACGGAGAGAGCGTTCCCATGGAACTGACGCCCTGAATTTGGACTTATAGCCTACTGGACTGTGAGAGAATAAACTTCTCTTTGCTAAAATCATCCACATGTGGTATTCCTGTTAGAGCAGCACTAGATGACTAAGACAGTAGGGATGTTGTAGATAAGAGAAGGACTGTACTAAATCTAATTGTAAACAGTATTAGAAACCTTCACTTTAGGAACCTGCGAGGTATTTTACTAAATGCTCAAACCGTAATTCAGCTGGCAATCTCTTTTGCAGCAGAAAAGATAAAGATGTTTTATGAGGCTTCTCAGCCACTCCTAAAGATTCCTAAAACTCTGCTGCTCAAACAATGTTGTTTCAGAAAAGTACTTTCTACCTGGGTTTCTCAGCTAGTTACCTACCTCACAGGTTCAGTTCCGGTCTTACTGCCTATAGTCACAAACCTACACTCAATAAATACCCAAGGTCTCAGCCTAAAAATGAGGTTAAAGGAAGGAGGTGAAGATGTCACAAGACAGCACTGGTATATGTACGCCAAGACAAAGTAAGCTTATGGGGAGAATGAAATTTTTCAGTAATTTTATTTTAAAAAAACCATATATACAAATATAATACATATAACTGGGGGAGGGAAGAGGCAGATTTACTTCAAGTTTTTAATACTTGATTTCCTGCCACCAACAACTGTGTCACCAGCTCTCACTCTATTTGACTTTGTGATCTCCATGATGCAGAATGCTGTGATGCAGATCCACTGGGTTCCTTAACTCTAAGAGTCTCTGAGTGGTGCAAACGGTTTAACGCATTTGGCTGCTAACCAAAAGGATGGCATTTCAAGTACACCCAGAAGCACCTTGGAAGAAAGGCTTGATGATCGATTTCTGAAAAATCAACTACTGAAAACCCTATGGAGCACAGTTATACTCTGACACACATGGGGTTGCCAGGAGTTGGAATCTACCTGATGGCAACCGGGTTTTTTTTTCCTTAACTCTTATGTAGATGCCATTTCCTAAGACTATAATGACTCCAAACCAATAAGGTTACTGTAAGATAATGGTGCTACTATATCTAGGCTAAGAATTGAAGACACGTGGAAAGAAACAACCTAGTGCTGCAAAAACCCAAAGACAGAGAAAAAAAATTCAACGCAGCTGTATACAGAAACCAAAAGATATTATTGTGGACATTTAAAAGAGGCTGAATACTACTGTTTCTGAAGTGACTGTTATCTATTACCTGATGTCGTTTGATGATATCTTTCAATTTGTTAGCCAACTTCAGATCGATGTCTGGAATGAGGTAGATGTTAGGTCTGGTCAGACAATTGTTCTGAGGAAGAAAGAACAGACGTTGAAATTCTCTTGGTTTTGAAATAATGTCACTTTATTTACACATTGCCTAAAGGGCAAAAGTTGACACTCAAAGTCATGCTTCTTAAAATGGGAAGTTGTTCTTTGGATTGGAATGCAGAAGTCTTAGCTCAAGATAAAACCCAGGTGTTCAACAGGCCACATTAGGCTACCCTCAGATCCCTTCTCTGCAGTTAGGTATACTTGGATACAAAGTGCTGAGAATTATGATCTAAAGGAATTCAAGCGTCATAATTAAGGTTCCACATTGCCAGAGTAATCCTCCTAACCAATTTCAGCTAAACTCACAGTTTAGCAGTCTAATGCAGTGTTTTTAGTTACACCTTTTATGTGATCATCTTTTATTTGGGAGGAAAAAGAAGTGCTAATTTTGACTCATCATGTAATTTACTTAACAGAAAATAAAGACTGGATTATAGCTCCTTTTTCCCACTTCTAATCTTACAAATAACAATGGATTAAAATCTGTATATAAACTCCCCAAACCACGGCCAAAAAAATCAATCAACAAACAAAAATCATTCAGTTATTCCTCTAGCGAATGGTCTGTGGGACAAACCCATTTCAGGCACTAAATTAATGATAATACCTACCTGAATTTTTGCCAGCTATACACTACCCACTCTGGTAAGGTTAATTCAGTGGTCAGTAAAAATTACCAAACAAAATACTAGGAAACACAAGTGAAAAAAATTAAGTGTTCTCTCCTCCAGATTATAATCTAGTTGGATTAACAAGATCTATATTTATGGCACAACATGGAAAAAATCCAAAGAAAATGACTGTATAAGCCAAGTGACTAGCAGAATGGCTGTTAAATATTAAATATGAGATTAAAATAATGGATCACGTGAAATTAATAAAGAAAAATATCACAGATTATTTCATTAGATGTTTAAGATCAATATTCTTAAAATAACAAGATTATTATACTTTATAGCTCTAATTCTGAGAGCCTCATAGGAATAATAAAAGATTTAGAACTTTTTATGTGATCTTTTGACAATCCAATAAAATCGATATTAAAACTGAAAGCATATTTAAAAATTTTTTTAATAATCTAACTTTCTCAGTTACCTGCACCAATGTTTTTTCGATGTTCATAAACATTTCAACATTTCGATCCATTCGGGATGGGTTCTGTAGGTCAAACCTCCGCCTAAGGGACAAAACATTAATTTGTCTTTCACCTTAATCAGAAGTGAAACCTGGTTTTAGCATTGAAAGCAAATGTATTAGGAAGATTTGGAAATTAAAACAGCACCCTATCAAACATGGGTATTCTCTCAGTGGTGTAAGAATGCACAGTGTCAACACCTTCATGAAAGCAGTAACAGTGAAATCCACCCAAGCAAAATGAAATACCAATTCTATGAAGCATCTGGATACCTTAAATCTAAGATATTTTGTATCTTATAAATGCTTAAAACTCGTTTGCTTAAATTCAACAGTGTTCTTTCAGACAAAGAAAAGCCTGTTGGATATTTAATTCTGCCATAATCGTAATACAGATACAGTTATTTAAATAGACAACATTTCTTCAATTAAGATTCCTAACTGGCTGCACTAACGATCAAGAGTAGAGTTAGATTATTCATTAATCTGAGAGCTTATGATAGCCAGGGGTATCAAAAGCCTACAAGTACTAATAAATAAGAGGCAACACACCAATGATGTCCATGATCTAAGCAAAATCAGACTCAAGCCGGAGTCTTTCTTCCACAGGAAGTCCAAGGGGCATGCCAAAGGCCATGGAGAAGAATACACCCCTTTCTTGGGACTGCATAAAATAGGAATACCAAGGCAAACTGTATAAATATTGCCTGAGTGACTACCATGTATTATTATAACAAACAAGGTATTGGGAATTGCGAAGGAAACAACAAAGTATGCCATACTCTCAAGGTGCTTTAATGTAGGATCTAAGAAAAAAACATGCAGAGGATTTTAAATGATGTGACAGAAAGAGGAATAACATTGAGAAATCATGTGAATGCAAAATAGAACAGGAATTCATAAAAAAAGACCAGACTTACTGTACTGATAGGCTAGCAGAACCCCCTAGACTATCACCTTAAGATACCCTTTCAACCTGGAATTGAAGCCACTCCTGGAGGTCACCTTTCAACCTAATAATGCACTAGCCTATAAAATTAACAACAAAAATAATAACGTGCTTCTTTAAACAATCAACTATATGAGACAAAACAGTCAACATTTACCCAAAAGCAAAGATGAGAAGGCAGGAGGGGCAGGGAAACTGGATGGATGAAAATGAGGCAGACAGGGTGGAAATGGTGAGAGGGCTGAAACATTGCGGGAACCAATGTCACAGAACAATTTGTGTATGAACTTTTGAATGGGAATCTAATTTGCTGCGTAAACTTTCACCTAAAACACAACTAAAAAAAAAAAAGAACAGGATACACTTGCCACACCACCAAGTGAACAGCAGGACCACCAGTTCGAGCACTGATCAAATTTGGCATCTCTCACGTTTTTCCAGAGCTACAATAAAAAGTTTCAGAAGACTCCTGGACAGAGCTGGAGAACAAAGTTTGAACAGAGTTTGTAGAACAAAACTCTAACTCACAAAAAAAGACTTACTGGTGTAACAGAGACTGGAGAAATCCCAAAAGTATGGCCCCAGACACCCTTTTAGATCAGTAATGAAGTCACTCCTAAGGTTCACCCTTCAGCCCAAGATTAGACGGGCCCATAAAACAAAATCAGACTAAATGGGCACACCAGCCCAGGGGCAAAGACTAGAAGGCAGGAGGAGTCAGGAAAGCTGGTTATAGGAAACCCAAGGTTGAGAAGGGGAGAGTGTTGACATGTCGTGGGGATGGTAACCAATGTCACAAAACAATGTGTACTAACTGTTCAATGAGAAACAGTTTGTTCTGTAAACCTTCATCTAAAGTACAATAAAAATTAATTAACTAATTAAAAAGTTCCAGACGATGATTGCTCCTCAGTAATTTGCTGTTCATTTCTCTATAAAACCACACACTTGGCCAAAACCGAGTCTTGGCTACTTAAATCCTAAAATTGGGCCATTAAACACAAATACCAAGTGTCTAACATTTTCATCACCCTAAACTGGAGGCAAAATCAGCAACAAATATTCTGCCTTTATGTCTGGGGTCTTAAAAGCTTGCAGCGGCCATCTAAGATGCATCAATTTGTCCCAACCACCTGGAGAATGAAGAACACCAAAGACACAAGGAAAGTATTAGCCCAGGAGACAGAAGGGCCTTATAAACCAGAGACTTCATCAGCCTGAGACCAGAAGAACTCGCTGGTACCCGGCTACCACCACCGACTGCCCTGACAGGGAACACAACAGAGAGTCCTGTATGGAACAGGAGAAAGGTGGGGTGCATAACTCAAATTCTAGTAAGAAGACCAGACTCAATGGTCTGACTGATACTGGAGGAACCCCAGAAAGCATGGCGTCTGGATTCTCTTATCAGCCCAGAACTAAAACAATTTCTGAGGCCAACTCTTCAGACAGGGATTGGACTGGACTGTGGGACATAAAGTGATACTTGTGAGGAGTGTGCCTCTTAGCTCAACTAGATACAAGAGACTAAATGGGCAGCTTCTGTCTGGAGGTGGGATGGGAAGGCAGAGAGGGTCAGGAGCTGGTTGAATGGACATGGGGAATCAGGGGTGGAAAGAAGTGTGCTGTCATAGTATAGGGAGAGCAATTGGAGTCACATAACAATGTATGTATAAATTTTTGTATGGGGGGAAAAAAATTCTGCCTTTAAGAGCTTGTTGTTGTTGTTACCTGATATCAAGTTTGTCCCCGACTCACAGCAACCCTATGCCCAAAGAAATCAAATGCTGGTCTTTCGCCATCCCCGCTATCAGTTGTCGATCAGACTGTTATGGTCCATAGGTTTTCACTGGCTGATTTTTGGAAGTGGATTGCCAGGCCTTTCTTCCTAGTCTGTCTTAGTCTGGAAGCTCTACTGAAACCTATTCAGCATCATACCAACATGCAAGCCTCTGATGACAGATGGGTAGCGGCTGTGCATAAGGTGCACTGGCCAGCAATCGAACCAAGGTCTCCTGCACGAAAGTGAGAATTCTACCACTGAGCCACCAGTGCTTCATTACAGAGCTTAAATATATCTTAAGGAGATGAGACAAAATATCTAGTATTTCTTTGGGAACAGTCTGTCCAATGATTCTATGACGTGGTGAGTATAGTGCCTTTAGATATTCAATATCATGGATGATTATCACAAGAGTAGCTGACCAGAGTATTTAGAAAATGCCCTTTTAAATTTGGAAAACTAAAATAATAACATTAATTTTAATGATTCTTGAGATTCTTCCAACAACTGGCTGATATTTTTGACAGGGTTCTACCATATTAATCCCTTTATCCTCCATTTCCTTGGCATTTTATACTCTTTTCCACTCTTCTGTCTCATCTTATCGTGACCCCATATATGCAGAGGAGAGCTGTACTCCATAGGGTTTTCGAGCCTGTGACCTTTCCGAAGCATTATCTCTAGGCCTGTCTTCCAAGGCACCCCTGTGTGGGTTCGAACCAACAACCTTTTGGCTAGTAGTTGACTGCTTAATCATTTGCACCAGTTGGAATTAACTCAACATCAACTAACATCACCATCTTATCTCAAGATTCTTCCCTAACCTTCTCCATGATTTCAGGCAGCCTCTAAAATCTTTCTTTAGTGTTCTGGTGTTGCTACCTGATTGCTTGGGAAAACTGATCTTTGAACCTACTGTTGTCCTAAATGTGATAAAATTCATCTATATACCTTTACTTGAAATTTTCCTCAATGCCTCTTTATACAATTACCCAGGCATAACATTCTGGTGTTGTTTTTGCCTATTTCTAATCATTTCGATATGGTTAAATTGTTACACGTTAACATTTCTTTCTGCATATTTTTCATCAACACCTACTCTACTTTTGCTCCTTTTTAATTCTATTAACACAAATATCCAGGCAGTTTGACTCCTTTGGGTCCTAATCTTGACTCCATGGTTTTAATGCAGTCTTTAGCAATATATCAAAAGAAGGATCAATTTCTTCAACAGTAAAATGGCCGATTGTGGGGTTTTGTGAAGATTAAGTGCAGCATATTATGTTAAGAAAGAAGCCCTGGTGGCATAAATGGTTAAGTGCTTGGCTGCTAACTGAAAGGTTGGTGGTTTGAATCCACACAGTGGCTCTGCAGGAGAAAGACCTGACAATCTGCTTCCGTAAAGATGTCAGCCAAGAAAACCCTACAGGCAGTTCTACTCTGTCACATGGGGCCACTATGAGTTGAAATCAACTCAATGGCACCTAACAACAACGTTAAAAGTTTAGCATAGTGCTTATGCTTAGGACACTGTAAGCGATCATTAAGTGTTAGCTCTAGCTATATTTTTTTTTTTTCTCACTACTACCATGTAATGGTTAAGATTTGGCAGCCTCATGGGCTGAGTTATAGCTCATGCTCTTAACATTCATGTCATCCTGTTTTATCCTGGAAATGCTCCCCACAGCTCTAACGTTTTTAAACTGTGCAGCCTTTCCAGAATATCACACCCATTCAATGGGTCTGATAATATCACAGAACAGTCCTCTTCCTCTGTGAAGTTATTCCTGTCTCCCTTCATATTCCCAAAACATTCTATGCACAATGCCATTATAGCTCCACAATACTGTCATTTTGTTAGTGAGATTCTAATTTCCATTAGATATCTTGAGGAGAAGCACCAGATTTTTTTTTTATCTTCCTATGTAGCCTTAGTGCCTAGCACAATGTATCACTTTATAAAGCAAGCCACTCAATAAATTAATATTTATTAGGACTGCGGTTTAATATCATTGTAACTTTTTCATTATTGTGCTAGGACAAGATTGAAATGATTCCAAAAGTAACTGTGATTAAGAAATTAGAGAAAGTCCCAGACTGATTCAAGATGGCAGTCTAGTCAGACGCACCACGCAGTCCCTCTACAGCAAAGACCCGAGAAACAAAATACAACAGATATAGATGACAACCCTGGAACTCTGTTCATCAAATGAAATGGATATACAATTATATCAAATACCAAATGGAAAAAGAAACTGAATGACAGCAGCAAACGGAGAGAGATACGGAGTGCAGGTGCCCTGCCAGCCAG